TATTTTTTTATAAATTTAAAGTATAAATGTTATACTTTATTTTATTTTTACATTTTATATTAGATTATATTATATTTAAATCTTGTATAAAAATTTATACAAAATTAATTGCACATACTGTAATTAATGAAATTTAATTTGTAGCTTACCCCATATATATATATATATATATGATACAAATTAAATGGCTGCAGCAGTATACTCCATTTACTTAGAGTGAACTCCTCCATTAGCAAAATCTTCATTATTACTAGTTGTGGTGCATTGCACGCAGCCCCCGCCATATTAGGAGAGGTGAGAAAGAACTAGTCATTGATGTTGTGTTTTAATCCACAAATGAGCAAATTATGGCTGTAATGTCAGTTACAAAGCACCTAACATTATTTGTCATAAACAGAAGTCACCATTAAGCAACAATCTTATGCATTCTTGCATGATTAGTTCAACTTAACCACCAAAGTTTTAGGCTCATTTCATTTTAATAATTACGGTCGTTAGAGGTAGAGCCTCCTTACTAATTTGATCGACCCTTAATCAACAACAGATTAGTGTCATGCTGGTGCTATCATTATGAAAAGTGAAAGTGAAAAATTAAAATGTTTTTATATTAAAAATATAAAGTTATCTAATTATAATTGAATCAGACTTTCAAATCTAGTGAGTTGTTCCTAAACTTAAGTATTTGAATTGAATTAATAAAAAATTCGACTCTCATCATAATTCTCTACATTCAAAAAAAATTATATAATTATAGTTACATAATAAATAACATTTAAGTTAGATGGTGAGTCAAATTATATCTCACCTGCTTAGTGATTATAATTGAACATATTTTAAATATATATTTAAAAAAAAAACACCTTTTAAGCAAAATTAAATAATAATTTTCTTTATTAAAACTAAAACACTTTTCACATCAAAGATCGTTAAAAGAATTTTAAAATTTTTCTTTATAGAAAATTTTTTTTCTTTAATTTAGAATCGTGGTCAAACACAAAATGAGGGTATAAAGTAACTAAAAATTATGGGCACCTTTTGCATATATATGGTGAGACCAGAACTTAATGGACCATAATCTCAAATCAATTTCCCAACTCTGCACACTACACTTTACAAGAAAATCACATAAATTCTACACTTTGTCATTTACATAGCCATACCTTTCTTCTTAATTAATTGAATTCTCATTTCTCTCTCCTTTTAATTGAAAGAAAAAGATTGCTTTAAATCCCTGGTCTTAAGGGCACCGCCCATGCCTCTTGCTTTTGCCAGTTTTTGGGTCTCCACACCCAGGAGTCAGACACAGACACAGCCACAAAACAAGTTCATTGACTTCATTAGTGACCACAACCCCAAAACAAGCCCACACAAATATGTGCACAGCCTCAGACTCTAGTCTAGACAAGACACTAAAACCATTTTAAGTACTGTACTTTCCACTTTTGTCATCATTATCTCTATTAAAATAATATGTTTAGCTATAATCAACTCTGCTTCCCTTAAAAGGGCAGCTAAATACAAAATTTGCATAAACAGAGGATTAGAAAGTAACTAAGTACCTATATAAGGCTTTCTGTCCCAGAATTTGTCTTCTATTATCCAATGAAAAAGCAAAAGCAGAGGAATATGGAAAGGATTTGTTTTCATTCGTGTTATTGGAGTACAAAATAAAATATAATTAATATATTTTTTAATTATTAATTTATATAAAAATAAAAAATAAATATTAATTTTAATATTAATATTATGTATCTTAATTTAATTAACTAATTATTTAAATTAAAATTAAAATTTATTTTTTTATATAATTTAATAATAAATAAATATATTAATTATTTTCTTATCCTATATTATTAAAAACACAAATTAAAAAAAAAAAACCTTATATAAAAATGCTTCTCTCCACTTTAGGGGAATAAATAAATAAATTAAAGACATAATCTGGATTGTTTTTCTTTTTTATTAGGGCTTACCACAGCCACTGAAAATCCCAAACACACACTAAAAAAATTACTTAATTATTACTCTGCCCAAATCAACTAAAAATATACTCCTACTAGTACTAAATTAAGAAAAGTTCAAAAGTACTGACTTATGATTGAAAAAGATAATAAAAATGATACCTTCCACAATTAGAATAATAATCTGCAAATCTCTCATATCAACTTCTGTTAGGATATATTAGAATAATATGACACCATACCCACTGCCTAATCTATTCCTTGTTACCCACACTTTCTGCTTCTTCCTCTCAAGACAGGAGAATATCAAAGCTCCCACTCAGGAAGCATTAAATTCAGAAAAACATGGATTATTTAATCACTGCATGAAAATAGAAAACTTCATGCTTTAATAATTTAGGAGATGAAGAAGCCATGCTTTAGAAAAACCAAAAAGTGTCGTACAATATTGAGATGCATAACTTAAATCCTTAAATAGAGCTTGATAACTAAAGGTTATTTCACTTTTTTTTTTTTGCAGTCCGTGAAATTTTTTTCCCAAAAAGAGGATCTCTAAAATAGGATATCAGGGTAAAATAATTCCTACTAGAATTAATTCGACAAAAGAAAAAAAGAAAGAAAAAAAGGAAAGATGAAAATGAATTCCCTTTAGATCAAATCTCTCATGTTATCTCAACAAAGTGATTACCATCATTAATTAAACTAATTAGTAACAAAATGAGGAAGAAAGACAGAAACTAAAGAAGAAAAACGGCTAATAACAGTCTCCTTACTCTTTTCTAAGTCCTTATTATCAAAACGAGGTATGATCTCTTAATCAAGAAGAGGAAGATGACCCATTAGTGGCGACATGCGCGACGCTCTCGTGCTCGTAGTGGTGGTTCAGATTCTGCCCGATGTTGTTATTCTCATGGTTCTCGTTGTTGTCAATGTTGTGTCCACTGTCGGGATCGCCGTTGTTGTTCCCACCGGCACTGCCGCCGTTTGAATCCTTCTTTCCGATGGTGTTCTTGTTGTTATGCATCCACACTTTCAATACCCCTCTCTCGACCCCAATCTCGTTGCAGAATTCCTGCACCAGCTCATCGTCTCGTTTCTGCATCTTCCACCCGACTCTTTCCGCGAACTGGAGCATCTTATCCTTCTGAATCGGACTAAATTTCGTCCGGAATCGCTTTTTTGAATTCAGTACCGTGTTTGTTACCCCCACTCCTCGAGCGGATATTTTGGCGTTGGCCGGCAAATGGGAATATGTATTAGTACCATCTGGGAGTGCGGAGAGGCCTCCAGAGAGCGCGAGGAGCATGTGAGGCGCTGAAGGGTAGTAAGACGAGGAGATCGGTGGGGGAGATGCAGAGTTGGGGCTGCGATGTGACGCTGGTGGAGGCGGAGGCGGGTGATGGCGGTGGTGTGGCTGGAACTCGATGGTAGCTGTGGTGGGCGGGGGAAACGGGTCCTCCGGCTCGCGGCGGTGGAAGTTGCGATGGCAGCCACAGGCAGCGCATTTGAGTGAAGTCGGGTCAGTAGGGGTAGCAGAAGGAGACGCCATGAACTCACCACATCCGTCCAGCGCATGACCACCCAAGCTAGCTGCATGATTCTTGAGACATTCCTTGTAGATGATGACAATAGGCGGCGCGAGGTGGTGATGGTGGTGGTGGTGGTGATGGCGCTTGAGAACACCGTTTGTAAACTTCGAGGGTTGGATCCGGGTAGGCGTCTCGCTCTCCGGTTCCGGAGAGTACTTGGTTGTAGTATTACTTAACGTGTTGGTGGTTGGAGCCGTTATATCCATGGCTCTAACATCTAGGGTTTACCTCAAAACCAAAAAAACCCCCCGAAAAAGATAAATCCCCAAAAAAGTAAATAAACACAGATGTCGATCAAGGGGATTGTTAAAGAAACTGGGTTTTCTAAATTTTGCAACTGTGGAAAATTAAAATTGAAATGAAGGGATGAAGAGGAGAGAGTAAGAGGAAAGAAAGACGCAGTACGGTGAAGATGAAGATGAAGATGAAGAAGAAGAAGAGGAAGAAGAAGAAGAAGGTGATGATGATGAGCAGTAATGACTGTTGATAACAAAAATCTGGGTTTTGTGGTTGTCCTTCTTAACCACTAGTTTTTTTAACCCTGGTTTTTAATCCATGGTTAGTTTTTGACTCAATTTGGGTTAAGAGGTTCTGTCATAAATATGCCCAGTCCACTGTTTGAAACTTTGAATAAGCCAATTGAGAATTGACCCTTCCCATCATTTAAAATTTTTTTTTTTAATTTTATTTTGGCAATGCACTAATCCTTAATTAATTCCTTTCGTGATCAATAATAATCAAATGGAAGAACGTTTTTCTTATAATAATTTGCCGAAAAATTGATTTTTCCGCATGAATATTATTTTTTAAAAATTTTTACAAGAAAATATCGTTGTGATTTAATGATCACTTTATTTTTATAAAAGGACTTCTTATGCTATAAGGTTCAAATTCCACCGTATTGTTTAAAATAATTTTTTTTTGGATATCCTTATAAAAGTGCATTTTAATTTTTTAAAATTAGATTGTATAGTAAAAAAAATAATTTTTTTATTCTTAATTTAATTATTTGTCATATAATTTAAATTTAAATTTTATTATTTTTATTGAAAAATTTTGTCAATAAACTAACTACTTAAATTGTTTTTAATCAAAATTTATATGAAGTGAAACAATATAATATATAGTCCGGTACACACGATTCATATCATGCCAATGGCAAGATCAATAGTGAAGTGGTCAACAACATCACTTTTAATTTCAAGTGCAATTTAATTTATTATTATCTAAGTTGCAATTTGTTAGGGTAGTCATGTACGGTACGGTTCTTGTTTTATGGATTGATTGATCCAAATTTGAATTATTATTTTCAAATTTTAATTGATAAAGGAACCTTTTGTAAAACATTCATTACACATCATTCACTAATGTCACGCCTTCTGACTCAGTTTAGTTAATTATATTGTAGGCACCGAGTTAATGAGTCTCACAATTATAACCGGGTCAGGCCGAGTTAACCCAGGGAGGGAGGACACCCAGATTATCAAAAAATAATTTAAAGGTTACTTTTTGTATATATATTTTTATATAATTTTATCTATTTATTTAAAATTCATAATATCAAATATATTTATTAATTTAATGATATATAAATATTATATAAAAATTAAAAAAAATTATTTCTATGTATTAGATATATTATTTATGTCAAATTCGAGAGAATTTTTAAAAAATCTACTCGAATTATACGACATCGTTTTCCTCTACCCTGCCTGCTCGCTGAACGGTGTTCGTCTGAATCCTGACAGAGTGACACAGTTACACACCTGTCGTTCAAAACGGTGCCGGAGGAATTCCCGGCTCGTACTTTTCCGGCGAACGAAAATAACCTGTTAAATTTCACAAAATGACAACCTCCGGGTCTGGGTAAGCGGGGGTCCAGCCGTGGAGAAAGTCTGGGGTATCACCGGGATACCACTGACGTGGTATCCCGGTCCAATTAAAAACCCCCACATCACCCTTTCTTTAACACCTCATCAATCAGCGAATGGAGGGGAAAACAAACGACAAACCCAAATTTAACTCACGGCAAATTTAACGAACGGAAAATCTTTCCAAAATGAAGTTCCCTGCGGGCTTTTTTTTCAGCATTTAACTCACTGCAAATTTTCCAAAATAAAATTTGTTTCCCGCTTTTCCCCATTTTCCCGCTTCTCTCATTTTCTTTCTTTTTTTCATTTCATTATTTTTGAGACTTTTGGTATTACAATCAATTATAAGCAAAAATAAAAAATATATTTATATTAAAGATTTTCCCTATTCCATCTAATTTGCTCTTCTTTTATGAATCAAAAATTGGACCTTCATCTTCTTGATTCTTTTCCAAAGGAGGTTTGCTTTCCATTCCCTTACTCTTTAGGCAATTCTATTTGTGAATTGGATTTATGTTCTTTTTCTGTAATTGATTATAATAGACATTATAAATTTTTTAATTTTTTAGAATTACAAATGATTTTATTCACAAATACCTTTTACGGCTTCTAAGATTGGAAGTTCTTCATTTGGCTTTTTCAATTATATGCATTATTTACTCATATTTAAATGATAATCTATTTCAAGAGTTAAATTTATACCAAAATAACACTTTTTGATTAAAAAGATGAGCTTTTGTTAATAATAAAAAAAAGGAGAAATTGGTTGTCAGGATTGCCAATCAATTCTGCATTTCTGGGCTCCCATAAAAAAATATGCCAAAATACATTGCAATTCTCTATAAAAAAAAACAAGAAAATTTTCTTGTGAAAATGATACAAGACAATTTTTTTTGACAAAAAAAAAAGAAAAGAAAAAACAAAGCAATTCTTGAATCTTGATGTTCCTGTTTTGTTTTTCTTCAGTTGTCAATGTGCCATGGTTATCTCCTTGAATGAGGTTTCCTAGATAATGAAAAGCCAACTTCTTTGAACTTTACATCTTAGTCCCATTCTCAATCTATATGTCATTGGTTTGAAGGTTTATAGGTTGCTCAACTAACCAAAAATCAATGACCTGCATAGCAAAAAATATTGACAAGAAAAGGCAAGAATTTCATCTTCTAATGCTATGGATGCAAGTTACATATTATCACCAATGGCATAGAAAAGGCACGCCAAACCCATATCCAATCAAGATGATATTAAGACTCAATAAAGGATCAACAAATAGAGTTATTTCAGCCAACAAAGAATATCCCGTTGATGCTATAAGTCAGGAAATCCATAAAAAACATCGAAATTTTGTGAAAAAGAACAAAATATTCCTCAAGCTGGCTTAAATAGTCCCCCTGTAGGTAATCTTAACTTAGGAAATACATCAAACAGTTGGTGGGTATGAAAACTGTTTAATTTCTTATAACTAATTCTAACTATTCTTCCTTCAACTAATTCAACCAAATTAACCAAAAAGCATACATCCACAAATCGCACAAGTAAAACTTAGCAATTGCAAATTATTAATTGAAAATAGCTATACCCAAACAAGAGAAAATAGTTAGTTTCACCAAGAAATTTGGCAATTGCAATCTCAAATTGCAATAGTTATGACCACTGAGTCTCTACAGATGCTGTGAAGAGAAGAATACGGTAGCTGTGTTCAAAAATAAAATTAGAGAGAAAAAAAAAAAAGATAAAGGGAAAAAGACGCTAAAGGAAGGGTTGGGGAGATGCCAAAGAAAAAAGAGTGCTGAGAACTTTAGTATGAAAAGATTTGCCCGTGAGTTAAATTCGCTGTGAGTTAATTTAGATTTGCCGTTTGTTTTCCCTCCGTTATCTGGTTGATGAGGTGTAAAAGAAAAGGATGATGTGGGGGTTTTTAATTGGACCGGGATACCGCTGACGTGGTATCCCGGTGATACCCCAGACTTTCTCCCAGCCGTGTGTGTCGTTTAGTGCACGAATAATAATCCATCATTAATTAACACGTTAAACAGCTGCCTGATTAAAGAACACGTGTTAATCGGCCAGACACGTGGCGACACGTAGACGAAACTCCCCCTCGGAAAAAGTCAAAATTTTGACTATGAAATGTCCGCAGTTAAACAGACCGCATGATTGGGTTGAAGGTAAGGTTGTGAAAATTAAGAATTTATTTAAACTCGTTTTAATTAGTTCAAATTAGAAATAAATCGGTGGAATTGAAAGTTTATTAAATTTAATATATAATATATAATAAATTATATAATTAAAATTAAATAATAATTAATCAAATTTAGATTTAAAATTGATAAATTAAATTTTAAATATCCAATAACATATAAATAAAAAAATCAATTTCAATACCAATTACTAAATAAGTTATAAATAAAATAAAATAACATAAAAATTATTATTATTATTATTATTTTATTTTGATTACATAATGAAAAAAATTATTTTTGATTTTTTATCTCATGTTATTCGTATGACATGTTATTCAAATATAATATCTCTTATTTTCAAATAAGTAAAATAATTACTGAATTATTGAAGTTTATTGATAAAATAATTATTATTTAAACTTATAAGCAAAAACCAAAATAAATCTCAAACACTATTATCAAGATCAATGTATTTGAAATCTCTCGAATTCTCGCTTCCGTGCTTTTAATTAAAATTTTCAAGTGGGGTTGGGTAATCTGATCCAGGTGAAATAGTTCAATTTTTATTAAAAGTGATTCAATTATAAAAAAAAAAAAGTTTATTTAATATGTATTTTTATAATATAAATTAAGTGTATATTAAACATATTTTTTATTATAAATTTGTATTAAAAAATTAAAAATTAAATTTTAATTCATTAATTATTTAATTAAATTTATTTAATATTAAAATTAATATTAAATTTTATATTATATATTTATAAAAAAATATATTTAATATATTTTTAATTTGTACTCTAAGAACACAAAAAATCTTTATAAAAAAAATGAGTAAACTTGTGAGTATACCTGAGTTTATATGATTTTGTGATTTTATCCCAATTTTACCACAAATTCATAAAATTGCACTCTTTTTTGAATGATTTTACATTAATCCTTAACATAGAATTGTAAAATTTTACTTTTACTATCTAAAACTCGAATTTAACAACACCCTTCACTTTATTCCCTCCATCTAAACATACTAAAATGCTGATAGAGATTACGAGAATTTTGAATTAATGATGTAATATAAATTATGTAATTAAATAAATTAATATATATAATAATATGACTTTTAAAAAATAATAAGAATTATTTTTTAAATAATATAAATTTATTTTTTATATTTTAAATAATTGTGTTATGCTAAGTAATTAATTCTAAATTTTAGTTTCAAAATTTTTTATTTATTTATCATTATTCTTAAATAA